GCAAAACCACCCAGGGAAATCAAGAGGCAAGTATCTTTCCTAGCAAAAGGAATCATTTTCCCAGTTTTACAGCAACAGCCTCTTGGCTAACAACCCTGTGGCTGTCAGAGTCACTCCTTTCAGCAAGTACATTTGAGAAATCCCAGCATCTGACTTTGAAATGCACTTGGAAGCAAATGCTGAGCCAGCAGAGAACGGAGCACATCGGTACTCGGGGCTCCCTCTGCTCTGTTCCAGGGAGGAATCAGACAGCACCATTCAGTTCCTCAGCGTCCTAATGATAAATATCATATGCTTGTTTACCTACTTCCAGATTGTACTGAGGGGAGCATCTAGCAGCTGGATCAGCAATTACAGCTCCTTTCTTAAGGGGTGCATCAGAAATCTTCAGTGTAAAGTCTAGCAAGAAATCTGCAAGACAGTAAGTTAGGAAGAGGAGAAAGATGACTTCAGATGATACCAGCAAACCCTGCTGAGATTGGTCTTCCTCTGGTGGGATTATTTGATGCATTACCCTACAATCTGCAGCAGAAAGACACAAGAAAAGCATAACAAGTAGAAACTGGGGTGTACCAGACTCTCATGGTGCTATACCAGCAAGTTAGTGATTAATAACAGGAAACTCAGAGTTTCTTTTGAGGCTTGCCACCTCTCAGACTCTGTGTATTGATCCAATTGACTAGACTTTAGAACACTGTTTCTGTTTTAAAATGGAGACTTGTGTTTGAAAACAAAGCAAAAATATGAAGCTTCTGTCACAGTTTGCATGTACATCCACCCAGAAATGAGGCCAAACCTTGGAGTATTCATTCAATACTTTGCTTCCCCACCATTTTGCTTATTTATAGCATGTGGAAGGGCATTTGTGTTTAGTTTAATTGCTTTTTGTAATCATTCGATGCAACATGTTCAGGTGTTTTACAGCCTAAGGAATCATTCTTTACAGACCATACTATTTGACATGTGTGGTAAAGAGAAGTGGACAAACTGAATGACCTCTAGTCAACCCTTTCTATTTCCAGTAAGGTCAATATCAATGCTTTTCCAGACACAAGTTTGTCTAGTCTGAAACTCCAGCAATGTCAATTTTGCATCCTCTCTAAGGACAGCAGAAGGAGCTCCAGGAGCTCAGCTACCTTGAAAACTGAGGCTGAGCAAGGCAAAGTTTTCCTTCCAGCCATGAAGACCCTGGAAAAGCAAGCAGGAAAAGCTCAGAGAGAGCTATTAATGACCCCATGGGGAAGCCTGCTGCTGGCAGTCACCTCAGACTCAGTATGGGCTGTGTAGATGAATTGCAGGTGCTTTCCATCCTCTAAGTCTGTGAAGTTTCCTTTTGCTTTAATATTTATAGGAAGCCACTATAACATATCAAACGTGCACTCATCTTTACTCCATTACTCATGAGAGGGATAACTCAATATGTCAAATATGCCCTGATCAAGGGGCAATTTCTCTTCTCCCCATGCCAAATGCAGACCAGGTGTAAATGGATGCATCTCCATGAAAATTGTATCTCTTTATGCTGGCACTGAGCACAGCCCTCTTGCTCAGTCTACTGGAACATTTCCCAGATACCAATGTCAGCTCCTCAGTTCAATCCAAAGCACATCATATGGCCCTTTTCTTTAACCAGCCCTGCAGAAAGAACAGACTCGAATTGTGCTTTCATGCCTTAGTACTTTGTTTAAGAGCATGAAATTGTCTCTCGGTGAGGGAGATGGAGTCTTTCAAGCTAGCAAAGGAGAGACATTTTTAAGCACCCTAACCCACAGCAATGTAATAGCTGCGGAGGCTGGCATTCATCTCCCTTCTCTTTAGAAGTCTAACAGTGAGAGGTCAGAGATAATCACCCCAATCTCTCTCTGTAGTCTGGGGCTGTGGGTACCTCCAGAGACAATTCAGCTGACCCAGATTAGACCCTGTTCTTGAGAACAAAATGAGACATCTTCTGGGGGAGCCTATTTCTCTCTGCTGTCTGTAGAGGAAGCCTGGCAAGACTAGATCGGACTTGGATGTTGAACACCTAGATGCTTAAATTAAGGAAATGAGGCTTACTCTGCCTAGCACACAAAATTTCAGCACTTTATTTGATGTAAATCCCAGTGCATTAACAGCTTATGAAACGTTACTTCAACCTGGTGTCACACTGATTGAGTCCAAGCTTTGAGAAACTAAAGGGCTGTAAAAGAATATTTGTGTAGGCATTTTACTTCAACATTTTCAAAAATCGTGGAATTCTAAGGTAATCCCAGCTCCCGCAAGTTCCTCTGGAAATCCTATAAAATTCCATGTTCAAATGAGCTTTGTACAAAGCACACAGAAAAAGAATATCTTTCTAATATACTATTTCATAGGCCACACAGAATAAGCAATGCAGCTTTACCAACTCTTCTTTTTCCCCTTTTGAATCTCAGCTCCCTCATTCACATACAGAATTCCTCTGGCTTCATCATTCTCTCTTGTGCTTAGCTATGCTTTGTGTGAGTTTTCATTGACCTTTTAGGGGTTCTTTTCTTTGGGGGGTTGGGGGGAGGGTTTGCTTGGGGTTCCCCACTGGTACCCTTCCTGTACTCCTGCATCTCCAAGTAAATCCAAGACAGCTTTATTATTTATAAAGAATCTTCAGTATCTTTGGTGCTTTATACACTTGTATAAATGCATTACCTGACCTCCAAATGTTCGTGTCACAAAAGCAACCTTAAGGTACCAAAACTTGTACAAGTATAGGAATCTCAACAAGTCACCATGGTGTTAAGGTGAGGTTGCCACTATGAATATGCTGTGTTTTATGTGAGTGGGCTATTGTGTTTGTTTATGATATTTCCCATGAAGAAAGGGTTAAACTGTTTTCTGTAAGGTTTCAAAATGTATCTGCCACAAAGGTGAAAAGCAAGCAAACAACATAGAACAGAAGCTAAGGACCAACAGTCGTTTTACTTATGATTCATGAGGGGTTCCTTTAGGCAAGCTCTAGTGTTGTCTGTGGACTGAATGGCAGTTGGCATCTGTGTTATTTTAACCCAGAAGAAACACAGTTCGTCCTCCTTCCATGAAGTTCAGTGGCAACTCGTATGTTTTGGGGCAAGGGGAGACTTGCGTTCTTCTGCTAGGTTGCAGAGCTCATTTGGACACAGCTTGGGTCTCTGCAATTCTGACATTGCCAGTAGACATTCCTTCCTTTTCTATGGAGGGAACATCTCAAGTATTGCCTGTAAAAAAGTAGAAATAGAAAAAGTAGAGGAAAAGGTAGAAGAAAAGTAAAGATAAAATCGATCCATTCAAGTACACTTCTTTGTATAGGGTGAGTAAACGTAAAGTCATTGAGGAATAAAAACCTGTTGGGCACTGGTGAAGCCCATCCTGTGCTCTATAGTCTTGGAGAAATAGGGATCTATTCTAGCTAAAATTATGATGGGATCTTCTCTTTACAGAAAAAGCTGGAATTGCTGCATTTAAAACATAGAAAACAAAAAAAGGAAGAAGTTGGATGTACACAAGTGAGACTGTGTTTATGAAGACACCATATCAAACATATATGTGGGCTCTGTTAGTAGAATAGGCCTTAAAACATCTATGGATGCCAAAGGCATTAGCCTGCATAGGTCTGTGACCCTGCACACACCAGCACATGCACACACATCCTTCTCTCAGTCTATAGGAATTATGTTGTATTAAAGGTTTTCCAGCTCAAAAGCTACTAGCAGTCTCTCCTGACTATGCACAGACGAAAATATGCAGATGCACAAACTGCATTCTGTTCAGTGATGCAGCGTTTTGCCGTTCCAAATCATCATTATCATTGTCATCCTCTTCATTATCAGAAACAGTACTGCGGTAAGCTCATTTCTAGAATGAGCAGGTGTGAGGGGAAAGAAAAAAACAACCCAAACCAGACCCAATAAGGTCATACTGAGTAATGCAGGGATATTATCAGACCTCTTGGATATGCATCCATCACACTAAAACCTACCCAGATGCTTATTCTCCATTCCTATGCCCTCCTTCCCCCACTTGTACATAGGAGCATACCTACACCTAAACTTAGACATCTTCCCTAGGAAACTCTTCCAAGACTTCAGCTGCCATCTATTTATTCCCGCACACTCCCTTCCATAGATATAGTGTTAAAAAAAAATCCCATCACCATGCTCACTGTTTCCGTGAAGTCAGAAATAAGTCCCAGGAAGCTGCCAGAGGTTTAGAAGCTAAGCCAGCCATGCACAGCTCCGGTGCTGCTGACATTTCCAGATGGCATTAATTTAATTCCACTTAGTTATGCTTTTAAATTTGATTTGAAAAATGTGTCATAAAATACCATTAAGTGCAGTGCAGCATTTGGAAGCAGGCTGTGAAGTTCCCTGCACTGACAAAATCCCAGGGAAGGGAATGTGATTTTCATAGCTAAGTACCGCGGGGTATGTTGGGAGAGATTCCTTTAGAGAGTGGGTTGAGTGAATCAAGAATCACGAATAAACATTATATCTACTAGATATTTTCATGGTGTAGCAGATCTGGAGAACTCTGATTTAGTGCTTTAAAGCCAAGGGATGATGGGGAAAGGAAAGATACATGCAAAGCCTTCTACATCAGTAGGCATACCCAGAAAGGAAAAAAGAGAGCAGATGTGCAAAAGAGAAATCTGGAGAATCACTAAGACTTAATTGTGTAAAAATGCAGAATATTATCAATGATGCGATATGGTTTTGACCCTGACCCACTGTTACGCACTACAGAAAGATTAATAGCTTTTAAAGACAGAGTGAGCTTTAAGTGGTGCCTGTCCTAGCTACACACCACTTCCACTCTCATCACAGTATAACATCCTTTAAAGCAGGTATTAGATTCCATTCTCATTTTCAGTTTTCCAAAACAGAACTTCTTCTCCCACTTCCATAGCCAGCCCATTTGTTCAGACCTGTACTGGGCATCCTCAAAAGTACCTGCACACAGTGCTGGCTTGTCATCTGTAGTAGCTGGCATATGAATCTACAAAATCATACCTGGTAACAGAGGAGCAGATGGTCTTATGGAAATAACTGTGTTGGAAACATTTTCTCCTATCCAAAAACTCAGATACTTTTTTCTCCATCCCAAAACTGAATGTTATTCTGAAAAGGCAAAACTGTTAGTAGAAAATCTGTAAGGAAAAAAATGAGCAACTCAAAGTTTGATGTTAATCATTATTATAATTGTATTTTAGTAGTATTATGAAATTGTCATAATTTCAAGGGAGGAACAACTGGGAAGTTGTGCTTTCCTCAAACACAACATGTCAAAATGTCTACAAATTTCCTTAAGTCAGTTTTGCAAACAGATTCTCACAAAGCTTGCACAGTCCCAAACGTCTCTTCTATGTCTAACAATGAGTCCCACGCTCCTCTTGGCAATAAACCTTCTCAGTGAGAAGGGTGGTCTGAACAGCCTCTCCCACTGACTCCTCCTGATGGGTTCACCCCAAGGGATGGAGCTGATCGCTGTGAGATGCTGGGTCAGGGGGCTGTATTTCTCTACTTAGGTCATTGCGTTTTCTCTACCTCCTCTAGGAATCCTTTGTGTGTGGGGGGATGAACCTCTTATTACATAACCTTACAGTGACCAGTATCAAAAAGTGTAATAATGAATATGTCTGAATAGCTCTGCGATGGGTTCTTGAGTCAGTCTTGCAAAGATGGAATGCACTGCCTTTGCCCTTTTAATTGAAACCTAAACTATGGCTCCTGCAAAGTACCCATGTGAAGGGCTCGATGGTCTCATTTTCTGAAGAACTTGTTTTTCATCTCCTTTTTTTTCTTCACTTCTCTTTTCCTTTCCTCTCCATTATAATTTTCTCTTTGACCATTTCTTCCATTTCTATTCTCAAAACCCAGTAGGGCAGAGAATCGAATGGATGGCTGCGTGTCTCACCCCTTACTACAGAGACAGATGTGAATACTGAAAGACTCTCATCCTGGCAAGCACCCAAGTGCTCTGTGACAGCCTTTAAGCACCTGAATCACCCCAGGAATACTGAGCAATCCACAGCTGTACAGCCCTGGCTACCGCCTGACACGGAGCAGTGGCACACATCTGGAATACAGAGCAATACACTCCTCATGCTGGAATACCGAATGACCCACAACCACCAACACCCTCTGAATACCAAGCAGCTCTGCACCTTTGCAATGCCAACAGCATCTGAAGGGAAGCGCTGAGACGCGGCTCAAAACCAATCCTCCTGCAAGGAAAAAAAGGAAGGGTTTGAGACGCTGCAGAAAGTCAGTCTGAAGCTGTGGAGTTGGATCCTGAGCTAGGATCCAACAGAGAAAGTATAGAATATAAAGCAGCCAAACATTACCAAAGATGTAGTGGGAGCTAAGCACCTAATCCATTCTTTTCAGGTGCTTTTTAGAAATCCAGTGTAAGATTGAGTGTATTCCCTGTTGAACAGAGCAGTGCATTGCTATTCCTAACAGGTCCTGGTGTCAGCAACACAACGACAAAGGCTATCTCTGCTATTGGGAGAGACCAGGTCAGAAAGGCTGGAAACCTTGCTTGTGAACTTTAAATGACCTAATCTTGAAGCCACAAAAATCCTAATTTTTCCTTTGCTAGGGTACCTTAGACAGGAGATACACAAAAAAAAAGGTTCTTTGGAAACTCATTTTTCCCCTCCAGGGTATTAACACAAGCTTTACAAAGGCTTATAATCCCTTTAGACAACAGCAGCAAGAGCAGCAGCAACTACAAAGCCGTAAGCTTGGAACTCAATCCCCTAGTGATGGGCTGAACCCTCTGCTGAGGTTGCAAAGGAAAAGAGAAAGGTGTGAAGATATTTACATCAAACACATGGAACAAGAGGGGATTTTAATCAAACTTTCCTTTTTCATCTGTTCTTTCTTCTCTTGGAATCTGCTTTTTCTTTATCCTGATGAAATTCAGCATTTGCTTTTTTTTTTTTTGCCTTTTTATTTTTCCTGTAAAAAAGGAGGATTTAAGAAAAAATATAATCATAATCACAATCCCCCTGAAAACTCTGAGTATTAAAACTCCAGGGCAATGCATCTCTAAAATCTGTAAGACTGTAAGAAGATAAGAGACAAAAACCCATGCAACTGTTTCCTCTCTGTGTCTTTGGAAGTTGCAGACGCGTATATAATACCCCTAAGCCGGGGTAATCTGCTTGCCTCCTCCTGCCTTTCCTGATGCACGCGGATGTACTTAGCATTAATATTCCTCACACTACAGCAAATGAACACCCAGGAGGCAGCTGACTCAATCAGTGCTTGTTTTACTTACTGTGTATCGCTGAGAAAAGACCATAAACTAGAGCACGACAGATCTGTAATGCTCATTTCAATATGCTTCCCCTGTTTGTTCCAGCCCTGATGAACTTTCATATTCAGCCAAAATAAAAGGAGGGGAAAAAAAAAGAAGAATTAAGAAATATATTACAACAAACACATTAGCACCGTGTGGTAAATTACCACTGGAGATCCCGGTTCCTCCTAGTAGGAGCATTTGTGGATAAACACATTTGTTTACTTCATTTTTCCTGCTGCCTTCCCCAGCATATGATTATTCACTGAACGATGTCACGACTTCCAAGTCTGATGTCATGGCTGTTTCCACAGCAACCAAATGGAATCCAAGATAGATTTGAAACCAGGTAGGCTGGAGTAATCATAATCTGGAAGCAGCATTTGTCCATTCTCTCCCATAAAATTGATGGGCTCCCACCACTGCTGTTTGGAGACTGGAGTTTGTTTTAATTATGGTGGCACAATCACAAAATGCAAAGGAGCTTGCTGTTATTTTTGGAACAGATACAGCTGCAGGGTAATTGAGAGAAAAGACTGTACAGACCATACAGATGAGCTTATTTTGTGCATGCAGGTTCATAAACCCAATTTGGTGGGGTATGAGATCTTGCCCCCTTATTTCCCTGATTAATTCATTCTATTGCTGCTGGAGATCTCCTAGTACAGTCATCACATTTGAAGATGAGGCTGTATTGGCTGGATCTGTAACGACTGGAGTGGGCGAATAGGCATCTACCTTAAAAGTAGCCACCTACACTGTAAATACTGAAGCGACGAATCCTACCTCTCCAGTTTATTAATAACAAAGCCTGCCTTCCTATCAGTTCCTCATGTATCTACTCACCTTAAACCTCAGTTTAACCCAACCCCCCCCCATTGGTCACTGTATTGACTTGATCATGAGGGTTCTAGAGAGTCTTTAATTGAATCTGCAACAGAAGAAATGGAACTGAAGAGACAGAAAGAGCGATGATGCTGGGGCAGTGGAAAAAGCTTCAGGAGACAAACTTCCTCTAAGGAATATGATGCCATGAATGTTGCTTTGATTTACAGAAACTAGAGATAGGCTGAGCATGGTGAAACAAGGTGTAGACTAGAACATGACTCAAAGGTAGTGCAGAAAATTTCACGCTGATTTAGAGATGTGTTTTGCACAATGGCTTAAATCAGAGACACTGGATGATTTTTGTTAGGGGGATGTGTCCAGTGAATTTCTTAACAGATACACGGAAGAGTTTTGGAGGGAAGATGAAGGGCAGCTCTTAACAAATCAGAACAGGGTGAATGGGATGGCATGGCTGCCCACTGATGATTTATGTGTAAGTCTTGATTAAAATATTAGTCAAAACAACTGCAATGATGAGAGTTGTGATGACAGTGAGGTTCATCTTCTCCTGTGCTCCTGGCACTAAGGGAAGGGATACAGATATCCATTACTCATATCTTGCTTGCAGTTTGACAGCAACTCAGGTGACACCAAATGGGCTTTGCTGGACTCACAGGAGGAGAGTTAATTCAGCTGCCGTTGGAAGTTGTGCTTTTCATGGTCTATTGGCTCTCTATTTATTTCATTCATTAGCTTCAAAGCCAAGATCAGCCTGTGGGATCTCTGCCTCCTGCTTGCTGACCTGGATGCGTCTTTGCCCATCCGCTCTGTGGCATTGTTTTCTAACAGCCTGTTATTAGAGTAGGCTGCTATTATAGCAGGGCCTGGGTGGCAGAAGCCCTCACAGCTCCAAGCTATAATCCAAAGACTATAAATGTTCTTTCTGTCTGATAAACAAACAGTGAGTTTTCCTCCCAGTTTTACCTGCTTTGTGTTTTAATTGATTCAGGCTCAAAAAAGCAAAGGGCTGGGCTGGCTGTGCAATATGTAATATGCCTGCTTCATAGGAATTTGTGCCTGGATATGGGGCATGTCATTGAAATGCTTTCTGCTTCAGGCTTGGTGACATTTGGTTCACATTGGTCTCCTACCCGTAAGAAAAGCAATCACATCTTCCAGGTGCCTCGAAACAAGCTCTGTTGCAATAATCCTATTTTGTCTCCCTTCAGATTTGGTTTGCTTTGCTCAGACTCCTTGCCAAGAACGTGCAAATACTTACAATGCCAGTAAGCAACCCAGGTTGTTACCTATATCCCATCCTTCCTCCAAGAACATCCTTTATTTTAATTTCTAGGAATTAGAAGTGGTTCCCAAAGACCTGAAGGGACAAATACTAGATGGTGACATGACTGCCATGAAGCAAACTATTTGCCCTCCATTGTGCACTTCTAACTGGCCAGGGGTCTGACTTAGCTCCACACTGAAGAGGTGCAAAACCCCCCAGCTCCCTTAAACCTCCATGGGTAAATCATTGCACCCTTTTCAGTGTTCTGTTGCAAAGGCTGAGGAAAGAAGTCTGACTCCCCTAGCCAGATTGGGATGATTCATGGCACACAGAGCAGGCAGCCCTGCTAATTTGAAGGCTGGGAGTAAGCATGCACTTGGCCTGCTTAAAATAGAATGTTTTTCCTGTGTCAGCATCTCTTGCTCCTTCATCCCCCCACAACATTTTCTGATTACATCCTTGAAGTGTCACCTGCACATCAGGTTTGTGAGAATGGCAGCTGAGTCATGAGCTCCAAGGGAAACTGGGAACATTGGGGAGGAAAAGAGGAGCTTCATCAGCAGTCTGAGAAGGGGGAAAAGAGAAAGGAAAATGTCTGTCCCAACCTCCTTCATCATCAAGGCTTTTGCTTTATTACCTAATGGACCACATCTGCTAGTGTTGTGAGAAGTGTTTGGGAGCCACTGGGTCAGAATGAAAAGCAAGGAGCATTATCACTGCCTGTTCTGGGATGGAATGAGGTGGAAGAATTGCAGTGTAAGCCTCAGGACCTGGTAGTATGCTATCAGCAATACAGTGATTGCTGCTCGGACTAACACTAGAGGTGATGCTCACTTGGTACCATTGTCCTCATTGCTCATGCTCACAGAAGGCCTGTGAAATCTTTAAGGTGTGAGATTTGTATCCCTAAATGCAGTGGTTACATCCCTTGTACACTAGCTTGCCCCTGGACCCAGAGGTCCATTCCAGTCCACCCAGGGCCATCAGTCCCTGCCCCAGTGATGCTTTAGCATGCTGCTCTGCCCAGACTGCCCTGTGGCTGTCCTGTTCCCTTGCTGGAGCGATAGGATGGGTCCCAGGCTCTGACATTCCACCCAGCTCCCAGCTCTGTTTGCACCCTCTTTCAAGATGAGGAGTGCAAGTTAGATGAAGCAATTTAAATCTTGGAGCAGTCACTCTCTGCCTTGTTGTGTATATACAGCACTCACACTTTAGATTATTTTGACTTTCTAAAGTATTACTAAATAATGCTGAAAGAAATTTCCATTCCTTTGAATGCCAAAATTTGTCTGTTTTGGGCATCAGAGACCATTTCTTTTTCCCTGAATGCACATTGTTTACCTCCCGATCCATAATGGTTGATACAAAAATACACCGGTATATTTTTCTTACATGCATCTAGCTAATGGATGAAGTAATTTAGCAAGGCTATTGTATTTCATTCAATAGCCTATATGTAGATTTGTTGTGAAGGATAAAATGTTCCCTCTTCAAGCGCTAACAATAGGAGTGCAGTCTGCCACTGACCTTGTGCACTGCTGCTGTGCTGTGCACAGGTAACAATGTGAGCCCAGACTATAAGCAGTACGAGCACAGAAATGTTCAGTTTCAATAGCAGGGACACATCATTTTCCATAGCACATGTGCCAGTGTTCACCTGTGTATAAGGCACAATTATTCACAGTTCTTTAGGGTTTGAAGGAATATATCTGATTTCTAACTGTCCTGACAAAAATTTCCCATGCAGGGATTTATGAGTTTAAAGTATTTAAAACCTACAAGCTTCCACTACTCCTGGTGTGTGGGTATATGTGCTTTCAACACTCTATTGTAAGGCACACGGTCTGCATTCTCTCCCCTGTGAAACAGTTGTATTTCTAAAGAGTAACAATCAGCATTCATAAAGGCTTTTAAATCCAATGTTTCCTAATTATGGGTGAAGTGAATTCTGTTGATAACCTGCAAAACATTTTCATAACTTATGAGGTGCAAAAAGATTAGCTGAATTTACAATGGTATTATTCTACCCTGCCAGTATATTAATAGAGAGAGCTAATGGAACTGTTCCCCAAAGCCAGTGGGATGGGATCCATGTCATTTCATTAACCACCTGAGAGTTAGATATCCTGCCTAGACTGGTTGTTCAGGATCTTTCTAAAGCCCGTGCTCAGCATTATCTCACATAATGATGATTATCATACCAGCGCTGATATCCGGATAGATGGGATGGATAGTGTCTCTTCTCCAGATGTCAATCACCCTTTGGATGCAGCTGTAGGGGATGGCAAGACTAAACCCCTAAAGTTTAGTTGGCCAAACATAGCTCAGAAGCTATATTCCAATTTATTAGCAAATTAATGAATGTGTCAGTGGATTAGGGCTAAATGAGGCATGTCCTTAGACTCAGTAGAACGTGAATGTTTCCTGAACAGATCTCAGTTGTCCTTATTCATTCTCCTAAAAGCTAGATCACTCAGAAAGGAGCTGCCTGACAAGTTCACCCCTGCTTTGGCTTCAAGGCAAAACAAAGGAGGTTCCATCCAACATAAACACAGCTGAAAAGCACTGGGGATAATACCATGGCCACATTATTGCAAATTTCCATGCAATCAGAACCCCGTTTTCATTCTGATGTTCTTTTACATGCCCTTTCTATGAGACTCCTTTCAGGCCAGTGGTAGGCACCAGCTCAGATGGAAACATACAGGTATAGCAATAATTCTATACTCTGTGGCTTTTCTTAGATAATGTCTAACCATAAGCCATTAATTGCAGCAGTGGAACCCTGCTGCTTTTCACATACTAGGGTTTGCAGAGATTAATAAAATCAGAGCCCTATAAAGCTATTCACTGTGTAAGTTCAGACATCTGACTTGGATGTCGGAGATAACTGTCAGGAATCCTTAAAGCTCCTTGTGAAATCAGCAGAGAGAGGCTTGAAAAAACATGGTAATTCATGCCAGGATCCTAACTTATCTGTCCCAAATGTGGAAGAGCTAATCCTTCTTTGCTGGCTACAGAAGGAGCCTGAGAACATGACCCACTAAACTTGGATGCCCAAGATGTCTCGCATGAGTCAGTGTGAATGAGATGATGCGTTAAGACTTCATTAGTATCTGACAGACTTTTGATCATGGCAAATAATAGTTATAAGTAAAG